CTTTCTTTCTTTCACTTTTACTTCTCTTTCTTTCTTTCACTTTTATTTGGTCTTTCTTTCTTTCACTTTTATTTTGTCTTTCTTTCTTTCACTTTTACTTCTCTTTCTTTCACTTTTATTTGGTCTTTCTTTCTTTCACTTTTATTTGGTCTTTCTTTCTTTTTTTTCATTTTTTTATATTGTGTTTCGTTTTTTATATCATATCTCGTTTTTTAAAGATTTTTCTTTGTTTTATTTATCAATCTAGATCAGATATTCTTGTTTCTTCATTTACCTTTCTATAACTTTTACTTGTTCTTCCTTCCTTCCTTTCTTTTTCCGTTCCTTTTATGTGTTATCTTCTTTATCTCTCACTTCGCATTCTTTGATTGTTTCTTTCTTTTCTTCTTCTTTTTTTTCATTCTTCTATCCAGTTGACTCTTTATTTCGTCTGGCCAATCTAACTACCGGCGTATTAACCTTTTGCCTCTTTTTGGGAAACTTCTAGAGGCCCTCATCAATACTGAAATGGTTCTTCATCTCTCATTACAAGGCTTTTTATTAGACAAGCAATACAGCTTTTGTTTCTCCAGATCAACTGCTTATGTACTAACGATAACCACGGAAAGTGTGTATCGTGCTTTAGATAAAACGGTGAAGCCAGGATTGTAGCATTAGACATCTTGAAAGTCTTTGACAACGTCTGACATTGAGGTCTTCTCCACATGCTGAAAAGATACGTTATCTCCAGGAACGGTTTTGAGCTGATCCAGTCTTTCTTATCAAACCGTGAAATGAAAGTTGTCCTGAACGGTCACGCGCCCACATCATTTAATATTAGCGCGGATGTCCCCCAGGGCTCCATCTTTGGCCCTACGATAATTTTAATCTTCATTAACGACCTTTCTGATGACAGCAGCTTTCAATTTGGCATCTACGCTGACGACACTACCATGTATTCCTGTCTCAATAGCAAGGTCAGTCAGACAAGGTCAAAATGGCAGCCGATGTATAAAAAGATCTCAGGACTTGTCAATTTTAACGCCTCCAAAACTAAACTGCTCTCAATTAATCATCAGAGAAACCCCTATATGCCTTCCACCAGAAAAGCTGATGCTAATCTCTATGAAAGTGACTCATTGCGCCTTCTGTGGCTAACATTCTCAGCTGACATGAGGTGAAAAGACTACTTTGAATCCATCGCCAGAAAAACTGCTAAGAAAGTTGCTTCACTGTGTAGATCGAGACAATTTTCTCTCCGGAATCTATCTTGTACATCTATAAGTCTTCTATTCGTCCATGCTTAGAATATTGTTGCCATATATGGTCTGGTGCCTCTGCTATTTTCCTGGAGCTCCTTGATAAAATCCAAAGAAGAATCAGCAATCTTTTGGTTCTGATCTCGCAGCTCGGCTTCTGTCACTTGCCCACCGACGTAAGGTTCCTTTTCTGTGCCTTTATTTATTTTTTTTATAAATATTTTCATGGCAATTGTTCAGATGAGCTCTACACTATGGTGTGTAGGCTGTATGGATGAATATTAGACTGGCGGCGAAATCGCATCAATTTACAATTGAGATAGCTAGATGCAGCTGCATCTTCTATGCTAACAGTTTTTATATTCCACACTTCTCGCCTGTGGAACTCCCTTCCATCTCAATGGTTTCCAGTCAACTTTAATCTGCAAAAATTTAAATGAAATATCAATCGCTATCTACTGTCTTTCTGATTGCTCTTTCCTCTTTCTCCTCATTACTAATGTTTCTGTTCCAAAATCCTCCACACCCTGTACTTCCATTGCGTGCTAGTGGGGCTGTACTGCCTTGCTTGAACCCGATTTTTAAAAATAATCATCATTGCATTTGTTTCTTTAATCCTTTTTACAGTTTTTACTGCATTCTTTCTTCCTTCCTTCCTTCTTTTCTTTCTTTCCTGTCTTTATTTATATATTGTTCTTCCATCCGTCCATTTTTTTATCGCTTTTAGTTATTTTTTTAAATTTATCGCTATTTTTATTGCTTTTCATTCTTCCTTTGCTATAATATCTATCTAAATTAATTCATATCTATCTATCTATCTATCTATCTATCTATCTATCTATCTAAATCAATTCATACCTATCTATCTGTCGAAATCAATTCATATCTATAACTCTATGGAAATCAATTCATTATTTGTCAACCTAAATCAATTCATTATCTATCTATCTATCTAAATCAATTCATATCTATCTATCTGCTTGTTTGTCTCTCTATCTATCGAAATCAATTTATAACTATCTATCAAAATCAATTTATATCTATCTATCTATCTATCGAAATCAATTCATTATCCGTCTACCTAAATCAATTCATCTATCTATCTATCTATCTATCTATCTATCTATCTATCTATCTATGTAAATCAATTCATATCTATATAGCTATCTATCTAGCTAGCTTATCACCGCTATAGCTAGCTAGCTAGCTATAGCAGTGATGGCCTCTGTAGGGGTGATGTCCTCCTTACCATTATAGATGATCTTTTAACGATGATGGAGTTCTTTCAAGAGATCAAAGTTGTAGTTATTACCGTCATATAGATTCTGTGAGTGCTATAAACGTAGTATCAGTGACATTTTTTGCTAAATTTCACCTAATACAAGGCCGGGGTGCCACTCAATGTAGAGAGTTAATGAATGAGATATGTTATATGAATGTAAAAGAAGGAAGTAGGAAATGAAAAGCAAGGGTATATGGCGGATAGTTAACTACTGACTCTAGACATGAAGAGGCTAAAATTGTAATGCTCTGGAAAATACCATCTCGGGAGTCTTTTGCACAAAGTATCGGTTCTTGTGAAGAATATTTTGAACTGGCTTTTTATCACAAGAATACGTGGGGATTGGTGGGGATTTAACATTCTGAAAGTAGCAAGGTGGGTCTTGGCTGTAAAGGACTATGCGTTACCATAGAACTTTCGGTTGCGTCGAATTATTTCAAATGATTAGACCTAGCTGCCGACAGCTCTTAAATTCCTAAAATCTAGGTACCAAAGAAGAAAGCTTATCAGAACTATTAGCATGAAAATATTTATATAAAAGGCACGGGGAATCTAGTTTGCGACGGCCGGAATATGACTGAAGCCAAGATGCCAACCTAGGACCGATGATATTACAAATTCTATGGATTTTCCTAAGAATCAATAAATACATAACAGAAGCACCAGATCTGACGTGATAGCAATATTCAGTGCATGAAAAAATGGTAGACGTTAAGGTCGATTGGCATAAATTTCACTGTTTCAAATAAAGAACGTCTATATAACCCGGTGTACTCACAAAAAATAACATTTATAATATATATATATATATATATATATATATATATATATAATTATTTTTTATAAAAAAAATTATAACATAAGTATGTTATAAAATCACTACAAAAATAGCCATTTTGTTTCAACACAATCTGTGTCTTATCAAGTGATGATGTTGAAAATAAAATAAATGGTTTATGTTATAAATTTTATAAAAAATAATTATATCTGCTCTACTTTGTATTGAGCACTCTTTTAAGAATAGTAATTGTTGGTTATTCGAATTCATTCCGTATATACCAATTATATACTTATATATATATATATATATATATATATATATATATATATATATATATATATATATATGAATGTTTCATTAAACCGACCGAAAAGTTACTACAGTTAAGCTTTTTATTTAATTTTCTTGTGTTCGAACAAAAGCTTTCTTTTCTGGAGAAACGGTGTGTAAAAACTTTCCAAATGTTTTATATTTCCGAGCGCTTTCAGCTATACCTTTAGACATTATCAAGGATGATTCGATTTTTCAGCTTAATTGAGTGTGTGCGTTCTGTGTATGTCTTAGTCTGTGGTAAGGATGTTTTTAATTTCCGAATACGGTTAGCACATTGTGGCTTTGTTCGTAGTTAATATTGTCAAGAGTTGGCTTTTTCTTTTTTATTATTAAAGTTTCCATTATTTTTAGTCTTTTTTTTGCAGGTGGATGCAGTTAATACAGTGTAACCCGGATATAAGAGAGTTGTCGGGACCGGAGAAGAAGTCTCTTATATCCGGGTTTGGTCCATTTAATATACATTATCACAGGCTCTAATTTGGGACCAGAGAAAATCTCTCTTATATCCGGGTTTCTCTTATATCCGGGTCTCTTATATCCGGGTTACACTATATATTTGTGTTTTCTACAGTATGTTCCGAATGGAGTCTGGTAAATTTGTGTGTGTGTTTAAATGGGTTCTAATGGAGCTGTGATCAGATAGGTGTAACGTAAGACGTCTGGATAATTATTTATGAGTCCGGTTTGATCAGGAACACAGTTCCTTAAGGGGCATTTGAACTCATAGACAATGTTCGTTCTCCGTAATTTTGACTTAGCTGGTGTGTTGTTATATATATATATATATATATATATATATATATATATATATATATATATTTATATTTATATATATATTTATCTATCATTTATCTATCGGCCTCTCTCTCTCTCTCTCTCTCTCTCTCTCTCTCTCTCACTTATATATATATATATACACACTTTGCTGTATTTCAAACTAATTTAAATTGACTGAAGAGTTGTTTTATTGTCTCTAAAAATGCCTGATTTTAGCCATCTGTCAGCACAACGTAATTCTGTTTATAAAAAGAATCTTTTAAAAATAAAACATTGTAAAGGACCGGGGTGGGGGATGATGAGTATGTAGCAGGAGAATACACGTGGGTAGAAATTTCCTACTAGCCGGTCCAACTACATGAGAAAGTTGGACTTTAATTAAGTCCAAATAAGGCAAAGAAAAACAAACACAAGGCCGATAAATATATGTATACAAATATATGTATTAATAACAAGAAAGGTTACAAGTTACATGGACAGTTACATGGACAGAGTGTGTGTGGTGAAAATTATATGTGCGTGTATGTGTGTGTGTGTGTGTGGTGAGTGTTTGTACGTACGTGTATTATTCTTAGCGTGTTCCCAGCATTTGGGAAACGCTGTATCTGTGAGCGTTCACATCTGCGAAGTGGTAAGGCTGAACGCCTGAGGAAAAAGAGGGAGAGGCGAAGGGTCAGCGAGTATTTATAGCCAGGGAAGAGAGACCCCTGGTGACGGGTTAAAGGAGCTAAGGAGAAGTTAACTCCGACAACATACTTTTCCGAAACTTTATTTGACGAATATTAGCTGATTTAATGTTTAATTAATCTGATTTGAAACAAATATCACTTAATTTAAAATATCGTAGAAATAATTTTTCAACGCGCCAGTAACTGCTTATTAAAGTTGTTAACAGGTTGAGAGCATGACTGAGAGACGGAATGTGATCTAATTGTTTTGTACGGTGGATATATTTGTAAAAATGATTTGAGAAATATATCCTGAGTGCCTTTGTTATATAATTTTCTGCTATCGAATAATCATAAAAAATCAGGAAAGTATTTCCGTAATATAATATTTTATCGAATTTTAGTTTCTTTCTGGCCTTAAATTTACTATAGTTATTGAATTTATTTTCTGATAATATCGTGTATGTACATCCGTATTTACAAAAGCCGGCATATCTAGACATACAAAAAATTCAAAATTCTTTTTAAAATATCGGGGGTCGGTAAATTTTAATGAGCTTTTCTATTTATGATTAGTAAATATAGTTTTTAATTAATGGCAATATCACATAACTGGGACAAATTAAGACAGTATTTTAAAAGATTTTGTGGTTAATTTAGTTCGCCAGTCGTCTGCGATAACTGAAATTGATTAAGGTCCTTGCTTTGAAGCAACAAACCTCTTCCTTCTTCTTTCGTTCTCATTCGTATGTACGACATCAGGCCAACCAAAGTTTTCTCCCATCCCCTTTACAGATTCGATATTTATGCCAGCGCCGGGAGGGATAATATTTGCATACGAGACTCAATTCTCGTTCGCGCGAGACTTCCTATTTTATGAATTTAAACTAGCTTGAATTCTTTTTTTTTTCCCCTTTTTTTTTTCTTGTACATCTGCACCCGAGTAGGAATTTCGCTTTTAATCCATTTCACTTTTAATGGCGGTCGCGATCTTTCTACAAGATCTGACACGCCAAGCAAATTCGCTTTGGGGGAGATGAGCCTTCTCGTTCCTCACAGATTTTAAACATTATAATTTCTAACATTATAGCTAACGGGACTTAGTTTAAATTAATACAAATAATCTTGGATTAAATATAAACCCAGTATTTATTTTGAAATTCATTTGTTTACGTTACGTATAACAAGATATAAGCAATCCTATATGGAGGCCAATGTGCATTTCATGAAAAAAAGTTAATTGAACATTGTTGGACTGTGAAGGTTTTTCCCATAACTATCTTGTCTTTGGAACGCCGAGTCCGATGTTACTTTCCGCTAGAATGGTAATGGTAAATATTAAGCGTTTCCCTATAAGGAAATATTCTACATTCTTTGACCGAGCAGCCATTACGGCTTTCGGTTAAGATATATGAATCTCTTAGAACATTTGTTCATTAGCTGTTATCGCTCTTGATGATGATTTTACTCCTAGCCTTTTATTTGAAGTAGTGTGGAATGCCGAAATCTTGATTATGTCATTATTTTCTCTTCGAGTTACATGTACAATCCATTTTAGTTGTTGCGACTGTTGGTAGTCAAGTGATATGGTTTCTGTTATTGGTACAAGTGTTTATTTGGGAACAGCTCCAGTTCATAGTGTTCAAAGTAAGGATGATCTTTGGCAAGAACCTCAGCCTTAAAATGCACAAACGATTTTTAACCTTTGTTCTAAGAAAACAGTTGCAGACAACTGACAGTTTAGATATTTCTAAACGAGTCTCGTGCCCTGCATTACATCTTTATGAAATTCTCGATCTGACGAGACGATTTAAGAAAAGAACTCAAGTTTTCAGGTTTATGTTTTGGTTTAAGTAGCAATGTGCGGTCTTGGGGGAAACTATCGCTAGCTTATTCTATGTTCAATTTCCTTTTCTCTTTTACTAAATTTGTTATAAGCGATCCATACGACGTGCGACTTAAATGTGAACCCGATAAGAAGGTATTCTTTATAAAGATTTTTAAATACTCAGGTCGATAGACGTGAATTTAAACTGCTCAAAAGACGGTTGAACTTGATCACGTTTATCCAATTTATATGCCGTTTAAAATAATAACAAAAAAATTTACTGTGTATATTTTTGGCATACCACACACACACACACACACACACACACATATATATATATATATATATATATATATATATATATGTTTCATTACTTCAAACATTACGTTTATTGGATACCCGATTTTTATTTGATTTTGGCAGTTTGTAGTATAGGTAGACCCACCGATTTTTAATTTGATTTTGGCAGTTTTTAGTACAGTCTGTTCGGACTACGCAGACATCATACTTGGGACACTTTAGCGACACGTATCTAAGCAAAACCTTCATTTTTTATCAAAGAAAACGTTGTTCTCCAGTAGGATTAGCACAACGTTTTCGTTAGGGTCTATTTTAGTTACGGGTATCCAATAAACGTATTGTTTGAAGTAATGAAACATATATATATATATATATATATATATATATATATATATATATATATATATATATGTGTGTGTGTGTGTGTGTGTGTGTGTGTGTGTGTACAGTGTGTCCATAAAGTTCGTGTGCACTTTTAAGGAAATTATAATTTGATTTGTATTTGCGATAGAAATAATCTGTAAAAAATGTTATAAAGTTTAAAGTACCTCGTTTTAAGTATACCTAAATAACTAATGTGATTTCAGGCATTACTGTAAATCAGTTGGCAAATGTTTTCCGTAAACTAAAAATCGTATTACCCTTTGTATTGCTAATGATGGATGACATGTGGAAAGTGCATACGAACTTTAGGGACAATCTGTATATATATATATACACACACACACATATACATATATATATCTATATATATATATATATATATATATATATATATATATATATACATACATATATATATATATATATATATATATATATATATATATTTTATATATATATATATATATATATATTATTATTATTTTTATTTTTAAAATATGATTCAATAAAAAATACAAACGTTCTCATGTTTCAAAAACAGCAGCTAAAAACTTCATATTTAATATATGAATATATATTATAAAATGAATTCCGGTAAAAACAAATATAGTAATGATTTAAATGTTTGCGAAGATGTAAAATTAAAATCGCTTTTAAAATAACTCTAATATAGAATGATTCATGAATATATAATATATATATATATATATATATTTTATATATATATTTATATATATTAGCTACTAATTTAAAAATCCCTTCCCTCTAAGTCTTCAAATATCGACGTAAACCAAAAATTTCTTCTAACTTCCATATTGTATTTCGCCCTCTAAAAATATTTTTATACTATATTAATTATATTTTTTCAACTTTCCCCTACTTGAAAATCTCCCAAACTCTCATTCCGTTAACCCTTTACATCCTTTTATTTATAGATTTTAAAGTTATTTGGGGTTTCGTTCTTCATTTCTCTTTTTATTTTAAATTAAAAATTCGCCATCTTTCATATAACCACATATTGGTGTCATGTAAATATTCGGGTGTGTTTTAATTCTTCCCTTTAAGACAAATACATTCCACCTTCTCCTGAACCCTGACTCCTGCCTTTCCTCTAAATGAAACGTGTAAATTCTGTATTAGGTGTTGTAAGCAAATTATATTTGTTAACTTTCAGTTAATTTCTACTTCCTGCCTCATTTAACTTTATAGACATGAACTCATTCCACAGCGAATTTGATAAGACAGTCGGCCAATATAATAGTCTGCCGAAATAGGCTATTCCCCATATGAGGTAATTTTGTTTAATATATATATATATATATATATATATATATATATATATATATATATATATATATATAGGTATGTATGCATGTATGTGCGTGTATGTGTGTTTGTGTGTGTGTGTTTGTACAATAAAGATAATAGATCCGTTGATATATATTCCAAGTGGATCCTAGTATATAAACTATTAAGACCCCAATATATTTAATATTACAGAGCAAATAATTAATAAAAAATAAAATCCAAAATCACGTAGTATGGGGAATAGCATATTTCGTCTGTCAAATTAGGCTATCTATCTATCTATCTATCTATCTATATATATATATATATATATATATATATATATATATATATATATATATATACAATTAGGCCCTTGTATTTTATAAAATAAGATGCCAAATATATTATTTGTATATTTTATGCTGTTTATGAAACCGACATCTTTATTGGGATTAGCGACCATCAAAATGAGGTTGTTTATGTCAACCCAGTTAAAAAGCAAGAAGCAGAATAATAAAAAAAAATCAATTTTAAAAAACTTCTAGATCAACAGAAGTAGCCGAAAATTTTATAGTCGCACAAATATATATATATATATGTGTGTGTGTGTGTGTGTGTGTGTGTGTGTGTGTGTGTGTGTGTGTGTGTGTGTGTGTGTGTGTGTGAAAAACATGTTGAAAATGAAACTGGAGTCATTAAAATATTTAAAGTATCTTTGCCGGTTTAACATTTTCCTGATTTTCAAATGTTAGGCATTTGTTGGAGAGTTGGAACGAAAGAAATAGTGAGGCATTTATTTGAGAGTTGGAAAGAAAGAAAGAGTAAGGCATTTGTTTCAGAGCTGAAAAACAAGAAAGAGCAAGGCATTTGTTGGAGAGTTGCAACGCAAGGAAGAGCAAGGCATATATTGGAGAGTTACAACGCAAGAAAAAGCAAGGCATTTATTGGAGAGTTACAACGCAAGAAAAAGCAAGGCATTTGTTGGAGAGTTACAACGCAAGAAAGAGCAAGGCATTTGTTGGAGAGTTACAACTCAAGAAAGAGCAAGGCATTTATTGGAGAGTTACAACGCAAGAAAGATCAAGGCATTTGTTGGAGAGTTACAACGCAAGAAAAAGCAAGGCATTTGTTGGAGAGTTTCAATGCAAGAAATAGTAAGGCATTTGTCTGAGAGTTGGAAAGAAAGAAAGAGTAAGGCATTTGTTTGAGAGCTAGAAAACAAGAAAGATCAAGGCATTTGTTGGAGAGTTACAACGCAAGAAAGAGCAACACTGTTGGAGAGTTAGAAAATAAGAAAAAACTAGTCATTTCCTGGCAACAAGAACTTGTAGAACTAGAAAGCAAAAAGCAGTAAGGCATTCTCAATGAAACATGTATCAGAGAAGAATTGCTTCCCAAATACGTAAATATATGTACATTCATATATAAATGTAAATACGTGTCAATATTTCGACACAATCTCCTCATACTTGCAGTGAATTGCAGGCACAATATAGTTTGACTATAGAGTTATAGCTGTACCCATACGAACAATTACCTAAATAAATATACACATCTGAACGCACAAAGATACGCTTAATGTTCAAAAGTGTTGGGCGAATCAATTAAAACTGCTTTTTGTACAAAGGTCGCCAGGGGACCAGTGTCTGTAATTCAGTCGGACCACACGCATTCTTGAAAAGCATTTGTTCAAAACTCCCCATAGAATTGTCACCTCTGTTCATTATATTTATAAAGCGCAGTTAAATACGGTACAAGGTCTAGTAGGGGTAAAATATGTTCTTATAGCAAAGTTCCAAAGAAAGGAGATTTAACTATCTAGATATGCATAAATATTTTAATCAAGTGTCAAAATCTAATTTTATCTTATGTTTGTTCGAGTTTTCACACAACCAATATCAACTGGCTTTACGTTGACACCGAGTAACAGCAACACTCCTTAATAACCTAATATTCCCTGCAGTATCTCTTTATGATTCTATTATATATCTTCAGTTATTTTCTACGTCACTCAAATTATCTACATTTCCGCTGTATTCTAATTTTAAGAAAGATGACTACTAATAAATACAAAAATCTTTCAACACTGAGTCAAGCTATATTTTATATTAGTTTTCAAGTTTTCTCACAGGCAATACTGCCCTATTTCAATTGAAATCAAGTGAGAGCAAGTTTTCACAGTATTCCAACATTGTCCTAAGAATCTCTTCCTGATTCTATCTATCTATCTATCTATATATATATATATATATATATATATATATATATATATATATATATATATATATATATATATATAATTTAAAGAAAAACAGAATACTTTAAGTCTCCATTATGTAATAATTTATTTCACCAGAGAATTTTTTTTTCTCTGGATCTCCAGACATCACTTTCAAATGGTGAAACGAAAAATAAATTTTAAATTTACACTTTTGATGGGCAGTATTAAGCTTATATAAGTTGACATGAAATGTGGTGAGGAATGGTGTGGGAGACATGGTCGAGGTTGGAGAGGGAAGGAGAGTTGTAACATTTATTTTTATATTTCTTTTTATTATAATACTTAATATTGAGAAAGGAGGGGGGTTATGTATCAGACCTCTTTAATCGGTCAACTCAACGGAAATGATATGGTAAAACGAAAAAGGGAAATAAAAGAAAAAAGGGAATATATATATGTGTGTGTGTGTGTGTGTGTGTGTGTGTGTGTGTGTGTGTGTGTGTGTGTGTGTGTGTGTTAATCATTTCGGCCCAAGATAGTCAATAAAGCCACTAAAATTAATAAAAAGAATATGAGAATAAGAAAACTCTATTAAAGACAGAGAACAATAAAATAAAAGGAATTAAGAAGATAGAAGATAAAGATAGACATTGCATTTAAATTTTTGTATATCAAACTTGACTCGAAAGCAAGAAGCTGGTTGAGTGGTCCACATGCGAGAGGTGTGAGAGATTAAATTGTTGGCATAGAACTTACGGTTACATCTAACACTTTCAACTGTAAAATGATGAGACCTAACTGCCATCCTTGTACTGCACTTAAATTCATAAAGTCAAGGTACCATAGAGGAAAACTCATCAGAACAATTACCATGAAAATATTTATAGAAAAGGCACAGCAAATTTACATTCAACTTGAATCCTTCATATGCCCTCAGTCTTCCAATTTTAAGTCCCATTCATACTAAAGAGCTGTTATCTTATGGAACAGACACCTGACTGGATGGTTCCTCGTGCACTTTTCATCCCAGGTTATTTAAAGCAACAAAATACTTTTAAGATTGTAAGAATTTCTTTTTTGTGGGGGAGATAATAATGGTTTAGTGATACAAGTTTTACTTTTTAATCGATAGCTGGTTGAAGAAAAGGTTTGGTTTGGTTTAGTTTATTTTCTATTACGGCATATCAATCTCAATGAGTTATTTTATGCCGACAACTTTTTTTTTTTTCTTGGTAATATTTTGTTTTGTCAAAAATTTATTTCTCGTGATATTTTTTTCTCAAAAATGTATAGCTGGTAATACTATTTTAAATCATGTATTGCTAGTAATATTTTTTTCAAAAACGTATTGCTGGTAATATTTTTTTTTTAAATATATTGCTGGTAATATTTTTTAACAAAAATATATTGCTGGTAATTTTTTTTTTTTTTTAGATATATTGCTGGTAATAGTTTGTTTTTTTTTCTTCAAAAATTTATTTCTGGTAATAATTTATTACAAAGTATTAGGTAGTAAAATCTATTTTTACACTTTTATAATGCTTTTTACCTCAGTTTCGGAGTTAAATATTTGCCCATAGCTGGGACCCTAAAAGGTGCTATCACCCCGGGCCAGGGTGAACCTGGGAACACCAGCAATTGACAGGTGGTTCTACGCCACTCAAAACCTCCTGATCAGAGGCCTTGCAGTTTATCGTCTTACCCAGGACGCGGATGTTGTTTATCGCCATACCCAGGACGAGGATGTAGTATATCGTCTTACCCGGGACGCAGATATAGTTCATCGTCATACCCAGGACGCGGATGTAGTTTATCGTAATCCCCAGGATGCTGAAGAAGAGGTGAAATTAATCCTGAGAAATTATATAGATATAAACTGGGGGATCAATTCTATATTACATACAATGGATGTACTGATCCCCCACTTTGTGACCACGGTAATTTCTATACATTTATGTTCTAGGGGATGTAAATATTTCCAAAAGACACGTCTGTGTAGCTAATTAGTATTTGATTGATTAGTTTTCTATGATTTATCAATATTTTTTGTCTGTTTCCTGCTCGCCTCGCATTTTTTTTATTTCGTCTAATTCTGAATCTGTAGATATTTTTTTTTGCGACTATAATGGTTTAGTGATACAAGTCGTACTAATTAACCAATCACTGGTTGAGAAGAGCTGGAGCCGTACATTTTCTCAAGGGTATTTCCCCGTTAGTAAATGCAACGAACCCGACTGGAATTTGAACTCTTTTCTACCGAATTCTTATTCCAAGATCTTATCTACTACACCACAACTCACGTTTTGTCCTTCTCGTTCTTAAAATTTAATTGTTATCGATGAGAAAAAGTATAATGTCCAGACTGACTTCAACTTTCAATCTCGTCTGTTGCTTACACTAAAACCTTTGAGAAAGGCATGATACTATTTCTTCCCTTACGCCAAGTAGGTGCTAAATACCAGGCTAAGCAAGCCGCTCTAGACGTCGATGGTATCCTATCTAGAAGAAGAACTGTTCTGAATTTAAAAGCGTACAGAAGACAAGGAGAGAAGCCTGCATTATATGTTCTAAGAATTTTAAACATAATTGAAATATGGTAAGGCACCTCGATGTGGCTATTGTTTAACATGCTTGTTTCACTTGAACAATTAATTCAAAATAATGAGTTCAATCCACACTGGGTGCACCATACTTTCGACCTTGCGCCACAGCCAAGCTCCGCTTAGAAAATCGCTATAATGAAAATACGGAATATGTGGAGCGGCATGAACGTGTACGTCCTAAAAAATATGGAATTTAAAAATAAAAATAGTTTAATTGGTTTTGCGTTTAATTTAAACATTGCTAAAAAATGCGACATTACTTTCCGAACAGCTTGTTGTATCGCTGACTGTCGTCAAGTTTCTCTTCGACGTCAATGGGATATTAAATCTCACGACGTCAGTTTTAGATACAAGGAACTTCAAACTTTCTGCTTGGCTTTTTTTTTTTTTTTTTTTTTTTTTTTTTTAACTATTTTCGTTTTGATTTATTATTTATTTGATTTTAACCGATTCGGAATACAAGAAAATTTCTCCGATTTTTTCTTCTTTTTTTTCTTCTTGGGAATTGTATAAAGTGTCAGTCAATTGCAAACACGCTTCGCTTGGTGGTCTCTGTGGTGCAATCTTTAGGTCTCCGGAGATTATGCAATGAGAGCGGACACTTGGCGTGACGACCGCTCCAAAAATTCAATTTTGTGTCTCAATAGAAAATGAGCAACCCCACGAACAAAAAAAAGGAGAAATAATAATAATAATAATAATAATAATAATAATAATAATAATTTGTCGAAGAAAAGGGGAAAAAATCTTTTAAAATCCTAAGAGAAAGAAGTACATTTGAAGAAAGAAAAAAAAATATCGCAAATGAAGTCGAATTTAAAGAAAAAAAATTAGCGTCACACTATTAAAACTAATATATATATATATATATATATATATATATATATATATATATATATATATATATATATAGATAGATAGATAGATAATATTAGTTGTAAATATACACATACATATGCAAAATATATAAATTTATATACATGCATACACATACATATATATTTGTATAAGAAAAAAATAATTCCAAGAGGATAGAATCCAGGTAGAACTCAAAAGTCCAGGACAGAGTAAGGATATAATAAAAGGTTTAAATTTATTCCATGGTCATATTTATTTATTGGGAATCGTAAATACGATCCAATTCATCAGACCTACAAATTAATTGGGTCGTATTTACGATTCCAATGGAATAAATTATGACCATGGCATATTACTGTTTACATTTTTTTATATATATATATATATATATATACACACACATACATACATACATACATACATATATATATATATATATATATATATATATATATATATATATATATATTAATACTAGGGAGTGTCTGGAAAGACTTAAATGAATGAAATAAAAAGAAATAAAAAAAGAAGGAAGGAGACAGGAAGGGAAGGAAGGAGAAATAGAAACATAATACCCAGTAAAGATTTAAAAAAGAAAGAAAGAAGGAAATAACGTGTGGAGAAAATAGAAACAAAATATGTGGGGTCAGAAAAGAAAGAAAGAAAGAAAGAAAGAAAGAAAGAAAGAAATCAATCAATCAATCAATCAATCAATCAATCAATCAATCAATCAATCAATCTCTGAGAGTATTCAGAGACTGTTAAAATATTATTATGTCCAGTCAAGAAGAGCCTAGAAAAAATGAATAACTAGAAAATCGGGGATTGATCAAGACAATCCAGACAATATCATTGGTCAAACTTGTCACGTATTGTTATTATTATTATTATTATTATTATTATTATTATTATTATTAATATTGTTATTGAGAAATTATCCAAATAAAACGACCTGGAGATCATGATTAACAATTTACCAGGATGTGAGGAATGGACCTGTGTCACAGAAAGAAATTGTATAAGCCTGACTTTTTTTTTAGACCAAGCTCTCTAATCGTGAAATAATCATATTCACAAAAGCAACTGATGCAATAGAATATAATACCGGGATTGGCTGTGTGAAAAATAATATAATTACCTGACCACCAATTGTCTTCTGTCACCTTCAACATATTCCCCGATACATTTTGTGAGACGTTAGTTTCTTTGCCGGAAACATAGCTTATGTCTTTGTCTGTCTCTTTTAGTGATAATAATGCATTCTGCCTTCTGACAGTTGATAGTTTGTCCTTTCTTCTTGCTTTCCAGTCCTACATTGTCAAGGAGTTCTTTCAATGTTCCGTCTCAGTTTGACATGGAGACGGTTTCATCTGCATACCACGGGGTGCGAAGATTATAGCTACCGATAATAAAACTTGGTAGTTCTCCCATAGTTCATCTCGCTGTATAGGCTGAATAATAGAGCCGATGAGAATAAGCATCCTTGTTTTACTACGCTTTCTGTTGTTGGGTATTTACTGAACACGTTCGGTTTCCGCATGCAGGCGGTTTGTTCTGAGTAAATTCTTTTAAAAAAATCACTGAACACAGCTGAATAACACAACAAAAAACGAGGTGCAGCAATTTCATTTCCGGAAAATACACTGTGAAACCAAGGTCTGCTTGAAAGTGGCTGTTTTCCTCATAAAAATATTTTTTTTCTAATCCTCTGCTATTCGTAAGAATATGGAGCCATCGCTGGAAAGATTCTTGGAACTCGTTTTCTGGACTAATTTTATTAATATAGTCACCTGTTGCTGCATCTTAGAGATGCCAGCAAATTTTCATTCCTTCAGGGCAATTTTCGATTTTGCACTTTTTCAAAAATTGAAAAATGGCCTGAAAGGATATTCAGTTTCTTTCTTTCTTTCGTTCTTTCTTTCGTTCTTTTCTTTTCTTTCTTTCTTTTTTTTCTTTGTTAGTTTATTCCTGATTATCTATCACCTTCTCTCTCTCACCCCTACATATATATATATATATATATATATATATATATATATATATATATATATATATATATATATATAGATGAAACAAAGCCAAATAAATACGGAAATATTTCTGTAGACACAGTGAAGAATTTTAACAAAAGATAGTGAAAAAATAGAAAAAACGTAAACAAGAATGAATGAAGTAGATAGATAGATAGATAGATAGATAGATAGATAGATAGATAGATATATAGATAGATAGATAGATATGATTGGATATATAAAAAATATTTAGATGCGCACTCAAGGGACGATAGTTAAGAACTGAGAGATGATTAGACTGAGATAGATAAATATTAAGAGATTGACATAGATAGATAGATAGATAGATAGATAGATAGATAGATAGATAGATAATGAAGAGACTGTGATAGATAGATAGATAGATAGATAGATAGATAATGAAGAGATTGGGATAGATAGATAGATAGATAGATAGATAGATAGATAGATAGATAGATAGAAACTAGTCAGATATTGCAATTGGGTAACAATTCCTACGGGACCATTTATCACGTCATTTCAAAGACGACATTGCCGATATGGCATCATACGACGTCCCATAAGCAGCACACAACAGCAGTTCCACTATGAATTTCCCAGAAATTAGTTCAGACGCACGTTTCTGTTGATATTGTCGACAATGTACTGAAATAGAAAAAAAAAGGAAGGGTGGGTTCGAGTCACTTTACATAGTGAGAATCTGATTCATATCAACGAATCTCATATATATTTTAAAATGCATTTTTTGAGAAATAAATTGAAAGCAAGGAAAATTGGGATTCAAGAATCTAAATTCGATGATGGTCAATATAATTAGAGAAGGTGAGCTGAGAATGTAATACTGAAAAGAAAAAAAAACTCAGATGATGAGAGACATTAAGAAAAGAAACAAGTGAGAGATATAGGGAGGGAAAGAGGGAGAAAATAAATAAAAAGTGTCAACATTGGAGAGTGAAAGATGTGTTTATCGGACAAAGGGAGATAGACGCTTTCTCCAAGAAGAATATAAAAGAAAAGGAAAAGAAAAGAAAGAGAGAAAGATAAAGCGAGAGAGAGCTGAGGGTAGAAAGAGAGATGCTCCCGAAGAAAGTGAGGAAGAAGATATCAAATAAAGAGTAAGCGTTAACACAGGAGAAGATATTGTGAGAGTGAAAGCAAAAAGATGACCGAAGAGAGAGATAGACGCTTTCACTGAGGATGATATGAAGGAAACGAAAGGAAGAGAGAGAAAGATGGGAGGAGAGATAGAGAGAAAGATGGGAGGGGAGAAAGAGAGATGGACTGAAAGAAAGAGAGATGGGCTTGAAGAAAGAAGAAGAAGATGTGAAATGAAGAGTAAGCGTTAACATAAAATATGGTGGATGTGAAAGACGAGGTTAAAATAAAAAGATGACCGAAGACAGAGATAGACGCTTTCACCTATATATATATATATATATATATATATATATATATATATATATATATATATATATATATATATATATATATATATGGAGGAAAAAAGAGAATGTAACAGATTTGGTTTGGTTTGTTTTACGGCATATCAACTTCAATGGGTAATTTAATGCCGACAAGATTTTTAATGCTGTTGTTAAAAAATATATATATATTGTTGGTAATATTTAAAAATATGTATTATTGGTAATATATATATATATATATATATATATATATATATATATATATATATATATATGGATGATATCTGTGGATGACATTATTGTAATTAAGCATTTTTAAATAAAGGCTGTTAATCTCTCTCTCTCTCTCTCTCTCTCTCTCTCTATCTATCTATCTATCTATCTATGTATATATATATATATATATATATATATATATATATATATATATATATATATATGGTGGAGTAATGGATTGAGGAATGCAGAGCGGAGTTCGAATCCATTACATTAACTTACGTGCTAATACAAGTCGAATCCATTACATTAACTTACGTGCTAATACCCTTGGGAAACGTATGAATCCTCTTCTTCTCCCTCCAGCTATGGGTAAAATTGCAGGACAGACTGGGTTCTATAGCTTTGGATGGCAACTGGTCTAGGAGAAGGACAACTCTGAATTCAAGACCTGTGGAGGGTCGTTTGGGAACCTCGTGGCACTCGGTGCACCAGGTCTCTGTATACGTCCCTTCAAAAAAGTGTGGATGGTCCTGCACGAAGCCTTCACCACTATAATCAAATCTCATGTGCCGGTGTCGGGCTGTCGGTTTCCTGGAAACTGATCTGTTTGACTCTCATACGTCAAACTCGATGGGAGAGTCGACTATATATATATATATATATATATATATATATATATATATATATATATATATATATATATATTGCTGGTAAATGTTTTTCAAAAAAGTATTGCTGGTATTAAACCTATTTTTATACTTTCATAGACTTTTAATCCTTTTTGAGGGGGTTAACTATTTCCCCAATATATTTTTAAATTTTCATAGTGTTTTGACCCCAGGCAGTTAACTATTTTCCCCAAATCTGGGACCCTGACAGATGCTACCACCCCGTGTTATGGTGGACCTGGGAATATTAGCAATTAAGAGGTGGTTTTACGCTCATCAGAATCTTCTGACTGAAGTCCTTGTTGCCGGGTCTATTTTATCGTCTTAGGCCTGGCGGGTTAGAGAGAAAGAAGACCTCAAATGAAGAGTAAGCGGTAACATTAGTGGAAATATTGTGTGAGTGAAAGAATGGTTTGAAGTAAAAAGATGACCGAAGAGAGAGGTATACGCTTTCTCCGAAGATGATATAGAGGAAAGAAAAGGAATAGAGAGAAAGCGAGGAGGGGAGAAAGAGAGATGGGCCGGAAGAAAGAGAGGAAGAAGACCTCAAATAAAGAGTAAGCGTTAACATAAGAGAAGATATTGTGTGTGAAAGACGAGTTTAAAGAGGGAAAGAGGCGCTTTTCCCTATCGGAATAAAAGAGAGACAGATAGATACAGTGTGTGTGTGTGTGTGTGTGTGTGTGAGAGAGAGAGAGAGAGAGAGAGAGAAGATAAAAATAGAGAATGGCACCGTAAGAGTAAAGTGAAAGTGGTGTCTTAAGTACAAAGACTGTCAGAGAGAAAGAGAGAGATTCGCTTTTCCTTTGGAGAATATGAGAGAGAGAGAGAGGAGGGGAGCAGGGAGAGAGAGAGGGGGAGCAGGGAGAGAGGGAGAGCAGATAACAATGTGTAAGTGTCAACATAGGAGAAGATATAGAGAGATTGAAAGACGTTAGAGAAGGTATCGATATATAAGGTCGAAGAGAGAGAGAGAGAGAGAAGAAAGAGAGAGAGAGAGAAAGAAAGAGAGAGAGAGAAATACGCCTTTTTCCAGCGGTATATAAGACAAAGAATATTCCTGTTCCTTAATACTTTGCTTAGCTTTTGGAAGGATTCTTTCGTTTTTCTAATATGCTTTCGGATATCGGCTCGGAATGAGAATTCGAAGAACCAAGTTCGTATTCCAGTCGGGTTCGTTAGAGTCAGTTACGCGCAAATAGCTTTGGAAAAGTACGAATCCATCTAAAGATTAAACAGCAGAGTAGACTGGGTCCTATAGCCTTGGGAAAGAAATGGAAACCTGCTGCGAGAAGATCTTCTGTCCAGTCAGTCATGAATCGAAAGAGGCATGATCACCCAAACGTGTGTCACGTGTGGAACTTGACTGACTGAATATGCTTTTGCATTGTCTGACAATTCTCGCTGGCTGTTGTAACATTTCTTAGATATTTACCGTCCTGGTTATGACGATAAATTACATCCGGCAGCAAGGCCTCTGCTCGGGAGTTTAGAGATTTTGAGGAGCGTGGAACCATCTCTTAATAGCTGTTGTTCCCAGCTTCACACCGAGCCGGGGTGGTAGCACCTGTTAGGATCCCAGCTATAGGCAAACAGTGAACCCCCAAACAAAAATCAAAAGTACATTTTAATAATAAAACAGATTTTTATTGCAAAATGACAATCAATGCAACATTAAAAAACATAAAAATACAATTTTATAGTACAGTTACCAAACAATACATTTTATGATCTACAACATATATATCTAAAGAGAAACACACCTTTACCCTAAAATTATTCAAATTAGTAAAATTACGAACAATATATATTTAAAGCAAAATGACACGAAATATATTTTATCTATAGTTGAAGGCATAATATTGTGTTCAAAATATGTATCAGGTCATCCCATAAGTTCTGTCCGAATTTTGAATAAAGAAAACAAGTGACCAAATGTTACATTTAATTACAGATTCAATCAACAATGTATTTTCACTGATTATCTATGACTTCCTTCCATCTATTAACAAGCTTACTAATTTCATTACTGTAAAATTCTTTTGGCTTTGATTCGAAGAACTCACAAATGTCAGTTTTAACCTCTTCCTGTGTTACAAAAGCTGTTTCTTCCAAATGATTCCGTAAGCTACGAAACAAGTGGTAGTCTGAAGGAGCAAGATGAGGAATTTTCTCCCAACCAAGTTCTTCGATCTTTTGTGACGTGATTCTTGCTGTGTGGGGTCGCGCATTGTCCTGATGAAACATCACCTCTTTTCGATTCACTAGAGCAGGCCTTTTTTCCTCAAAGCTTGGTTCAAACGCTCTAATTGCTGACAATATATTTGAGCATTAATTGTTGCATTAGGTGGTAAGAATTTAAAGTGTATTATTCCTTGGCGATCCCACCAGATTGAAAGAACGTTTTTCCCATGAAGTTCCCTTCTCGGCTGTGGCTGGGGTCCTTCCCCTTTACCAAGCCACTGTCTATGACGCTTAACCTTTCGTTAAAAGATCCATTTTTCATCACCAGTCACAAGTTTATCCAAAAAAGGTGAAACAAGTTGGCGAGAATAGAGAGAAGAGCAGATGTCAACTCGGGATTTGAGGTTGTTTTCAGACAATTCATGAGGCACCCATTATCCAAGTTTAGGAACTTTTCCAAGTTGTTGAAGATGACGATGAACAATTGCATGGTTTGAATTGAGAATCACTGCCAATTCCTCAATTGATAAAGCGGGATTTTCTTCAAGGGCTGCTTCAAGAAGTTTTTCATCAAACTCAACTGGACATCCGGTTCGATCTTCATCTTCAAAGGTAAAATCTCCACCTCTGAATTTTGCAAACGATCTTCTGCAAGTTCTTTCATTCACACATTTCTCTCCATAAACTGAGTGAATGTTTCTAGCCGCTTCGGTTGCTGAGTTTCCTTTCTTGAACTCATAAAGCATTATGTGCCTCAAATGATTCTTGGGTACTTCCATGTTAGCATGGTTTTAATCAAACAAAATTTAATTTTATTGTTCTCTGAAATAAAATTTGATCAGTTTAAATGCATCTAAATATAAAAATAATGTTCAGCTCCATTAGACATTATAAAATACTCTTTAAATTTCGTTCATTTTAACAAAAAGTTAAAATTCCGACAGAACTTATGGGATGACCTGATAGATTTCATCATTAAGAGAATCAAGTTAGCTTTGATAGTTAAATGTACTTGTTTGCTTACACGGTACCCAAATTGTCACTAAAGGACTGTTTTATCCTTCTTGCTGACGACCATTCATTCTGTCTTCTTAGAATTTAATGTTTATTTATTTCTACGTGCAAGAGTCGTTTTCATTCCCATTTTCCATAAAACTTGCACGTAGCTCACATATTCCGTTCATAGTATTCTCAGTATCCTTCTGTAGAATCACATTTCTGTTGCCTCAAGTTTCCTCTTCATCTTCATGTTCCAGCATCCATTGCCATATAGAAATGATATTACATAGCAGTTCATCATTGTTTTTTGTGTTTCTAACGAAATTTTCCTGTTTCTTAATACTTTGCTTAGTTTCTACAATTTTTTTTGTTCATTTTTCGTTATTCTATTTCCTTTGGATTTCTATGTCACATTTTCCGACGTCTGTTCTAACTCTTCGCAAATTTTTGATTAAATTTTTGTACTCCCTATATTCTGACGTCTTCAATTTGTAGCTTGCATCTTGGGTTGGTCATACATTTTGTCTTCTTACAATTGAGAATTAGTCCTTTCTTCCCGCTTTCCTTTAATACCTTGTCTCGCATTTTCTGCAGTTTTCTTTCTCTTTATGCCGGACTGAGTTCATACGGTGTGCTCTTCAGTTGCCGCCCAGTGTAAGTCGAAACTCAACCCACTACGCCTAACCAACAAAGTAATCTAAACACACACACACACATATATATATATAAGAATCATGGGTAATAAAAATAGGCAAGCTATTAATATTCTTGTTTTTATTCCCTTTTCTACGCCTACTTGATAAGCATTCATAAAAGACTTTCTGGCCACTCGTACAATAATTGTTATTCATATTA